TTATATATAAATGCTTATTTTAGTTTTATTTTTATATAAGTATTTAATATATCTAATTAAAAAATAAATAAAAGTAAGTTTTCAATTTTTTTATTTGAACTTTTTTTTATAAAAAAAAATTATTTAATATATTTTAATCATGATTTATAATATATATATTATATATTTATTTTTTATTATTATTTGTTAATTTTATTTTTTGAAAAATTGATTTTTACACAAATAGGAATGAGAAAACCTTTCATTTACTATGGAATGGTTAATTCCATGGAGATGGGTTTTGCCATTCCCATTGGAATGGTCATTCCTTCCCAAAAAATATACCAATCATGGGATAAGGAATGAGTAAGAGATGATCATTCCATTCTCATGTCATTCATTCCTACCAATCATGCCATTAGATTATTGTAAGGGTAAGTTCCATTAAAATCCTCTACTCCCTTTTCAATATTCTTTTTCAGTCCCTAGGCTACTTAAATTCCACTGCACTCCCTACCCCTTAATAATTTTCCACTTACCTCCCTCTTGTTAAAATAAATCAAAAATAAAATAACTAATGACATCATCTCACTACGATCTAACTTTCAATATTATTTTATTATTTCTCTCTGTTTCCACTATAATCTTTCTTAATTTTTTATTATTTTTTCTCTCTCTTTTCATATATTTTTTTATTATTTCTACAGTAATAATAATGAGGTTCATTTGGATATATGATTATAATATTGCATATCATTTCATGATTTTTAAGGTGAAAAAGAAGTTTTTCTGTAGGACAATGTGTAAAAGAAAGAGCATATATGTATGCCCATATAAAAAGATAACTCATCATAAAAAACTCTTACAAAGATTTATTTGTTGGAGATCTCTAAAGATATTTTAAAATTTTAGAAATCTAGTGTATTTAACTTAGATTTTTTAAATTTTCTAAAATTCTTGTATATTCATTTGAGATTTTAAATGTCGTATAAATCCTAAGTTATTTAACGTGTTTGAGAATAAGATTTGTTAGAACTTTTTAATATTTGGTGAAATTTCAATAGAAAAAGAATTATTCGAAATCCTATTTTAAATAAAAATAGTCTCAAAATATCACTAAAAATTTGAGACAAATACACCCTTAGATTATTGTAAGGGTAAGTTCCATTAAAATCCCCTACTCCCTTTTCAATATTCTTTTTCAGTCCCTAGGCTACTTAAATTCCACTGTACTACCCTTTAATAATTTTTTCACTTAACTCCCACTTGTTAAAATAAATCAAAAATAAAATAACTAATGACATTATCTCACTACGACCTAACTTTCAATATTATTTTATTATTTCTCTCTATTTCCACTATAATCTTTCTTAATTTTTTATTATTTTTCTCTCTTTTCATATATTTTGTTATTATTTCTTTTTATCATCTTCTACTATTTCTCTCTCATACTATTAATTTTTCTTAATTTTATTATTTTTCTTTATCTTTCCTTCCACACAATATAAATGTACTAAAAGTTACAACAACATTGGTATTGTCCTACTACAGTATAAGTATTATTTTTGTAAACAAATATTTATAGTATATATTCATCTTCGTTCGTATAATTCGGTACTAAATGACAGTATATAAGTACTGGGTTACTACAACACCGGTACTGTCTTATTCCAGTATAGGTATCGGTTTTGAAAACTCAATGAAACTAACTAATATGAATCTGGTGCGATTCACGGGTAATAGATATTTATTAATATTTATAAATTAAAAGTCTCAATAAATAATATTTATAAATTAAAAATATGAAACCAATATGTAGAGATTACGAGATTAAAACATCGAGCGATGACCATCTTAGAGATTGAGAGATTATGGCCGAGATACAGAAACTCTTCGACTTTTTGGATTAAGATTCTAGCGTTTTTTTCTCTGATTAGACTCACTGACATTGGATCGTGCATCGTGCTTGCCTGAATACCACAATTGAAAATAAAACTCACGACAACAGGAAATTTTGTTTTATTACTAACGCAATCTAGGTCATCTCAAATACTTTTAATTGTATCTTCGTTGTTCGAATATTTTTTTTTTTGTTAAATTTCTCTGTGCATACACGAGCCTAGCACGATAAAATGGGTTTATTGCACGAAATCCCCCTGTATTATATGAAATCTGCACGTTTTCCCCCGGTATTTTAAAAATTACGTCAAACCCCCTTCTATTTCATGTTTGCATGCATACTCGCCATTTCCAGTTAACGCTGTTACTTTAATGCTGACGGCGTTTCTCTTTCATTGAATTTACCTTTATACCCTTACTTTAACATTGAATTTACCATTTTACCCTTAATGTTAATATATTGACTTAAAAGTAAAACTCCAATGGTAGGGATTGAACCCACCACCTTTGTGATGTAAAAGACAACTCTTACCAACTGGACTACTACTCATTTAGTTATAAATGTGATTTTATCTATATATATCACACTGTATAGCGGAATATCATATAATTAAGTATATAGATTCTAAATTATAAATATCATAATAATTAATTATATAGATCTAAATTATGAATAATATAATAATGAATTATACAGATTCTCTATAATGTAATAATTAAGTATATAAACTCTAAGTTATAAATAATATAATAATTAAGTATATAGTTTATAAATTATAAATATGTAATAATTAAGTAAATATTTTTTAAGTTATAAATAATATAATAATTAAATAAATATATTATAAATTAAAACTAATACAATAATTAAATAAATATATTATAAATTAAAAATAATATAATAATTCGTTATATAGATATAAATAATACAATGATTAAATAAATTTTAAATGAACCATTGAATTGGATACAATCGATTCTCTCAGGTGAGAGCGAAATATTCTCTCAGGTGAGAGCTCGGATATTCCTTCGGTGAAGGTTGAGAGGGAGACTCGATTCATACTTATTGTGAATATTTGGAGTTTGGGAAGATCAGGCGTGAGCATTGGAGTTGCAAGTTGGGTTGGTTTTTTTTGGAGCAGTAGGGTTACTGGTCTGATCAAATGGGGGATAAATCTCCAGGTCACGCTTCATATAGTGGAATGACGGAGGGGGTCATGAAAAAGCTTCAGGCTATATCTTTCTCGGCGAAGGAAGCAGGAGAGATTGAACTGAGAAATGAAGATGTTAAAAAGAGCGAGGAAGAATGTGCGATGAGCTTATTTGGGAAAGTCGTGGGAGATAGGAAAGCTGGCATTTTGGGAATAAAATGTACAATGGGGGCAATCTGGAAACTACAAACTGCAATGGAGGTAAAGGAGATAAGCTCAAACTTCTTCCAGTTTATTTTCAATTCAATGGAAGACAAACGGAAGGTAGTTGCTGGTAACAACTGGCTGTATGAGAACCAGTATCTTATTCTTAAAGAATGGTTTCCGGGGCTACATAGTAACCACTCATGTTTCGAGGAAATCAACATATGGGTGCAAGTCATCAATGTACCTCTGAACTGGATGAGCACAGAAGTTGGGTTGCGGATTGGACAAATTTTCAATAAAGTTAAGAATGTTGTGGTTTGTAAAACAGGTGGAGAAACTGGTAGTTTTCTAAAGATTCTGGTGGCTCTAAATCTGAACGAACCTATTCCGAGATGCACTAGTGTCAAGCTTGGCAATGAAAAAGTCTTAGTTGCTTTCAGGTATGAAAGACTTGCAAACCTCTGCTACTATTGTGGAATGATTGGGCATCTGGATAGAGCTTGTGATCGAAGAATTGAGGATATTGAGAAAAAAGCCGTTTCTGAAGGGCAATTTGGTGAGTGGCTTAAAGCAAGTGAATCAACACCGGGGGGGAGAAGTAGTTTCTCTAGTACTTCGGGAGCAAGAGTGAGTACTCCTCCTATAAACTCAAAACAAGGATCTTGTGAACCAACCAAGACAAACAAAGAACAGGAAAGCAACGAGGAGGCCCGAGGAGCTGATAAACCTTCTAAACCACCACAGGGCATGGAGATTATTGAAAGTGCTGAGAGGACTGGAGAGGACAACCTCAATCTTGCTTTAGTCAGAAGGGAAGCAATGGACTCTGAAAATATGGAGTCTCACTTAAACAGCATTGTTTTGAGGGAGACAGATGATTTAATGGAAGTAATGCCTAGTTCTTCTCAAAANTATTTTTATTTAATTTATTGGAAGTTATTAGTATTATTATTATTAATTATTTAATTTATAGTAAATTGACATATTATCCTTTTATTTTATTTATTTACTTATTTTTAAACTATTTAATTCATTTCAGTATGATGTATAGATATATTTATGTTCAATAGATTACACATCCATCCATATGGCCTAGTGGTTGAGTGGCCATTCCCTTCCTTTTCAACCCAGGTTCGAATCTTGTTGCCCACATTTCATGATATTTAGGTTTTGCACATGATTCAAGGGTAAAATAGTAATTTCCGCCACTTTGGGATGAAAAAATGAAGAAAAAGTAACATTTGGGTTTTGCACATAATTCAAGGGTAGCCCACATTTCATGACATTTGGGTTTTGCACATAATAGGTAAAATAGTAATTTCTGCCACTTTGGGATGAAAAAATGAAGAAAAAGTAACATTTGGGTTTTGCACATAATTCAAGGGTAAAACAGTAATTTCCGCCACTTTGAGATGAAAAAATGAAGAAAAAGTCGCACAGCACGCGCGCGTGCACGCCACTTCCGTCATCTTAGACGGTTTATGGTGTTTCGCTCATGCAAAACCTTAAAAAATGAAGAGATGCAAAACCTTAAAAAATGAAGAAAAAGTCGCACAGCACGCGCGTGCACGCCACTTCCGTCATCTTAGACGGTTTAGGGTATTTCGCGCATGCAAAACCTTAATAGAAGGGGTCTGACGCAATTTTTAAAATACAGAGGAGAAACGCGCAGATTTCATATAATACAAGGGGTACTAGATATTTTACCCACGATAAAATTCCAACATTTCTGAGGTGGGATGATCCATTTTTGAGTTTTGACAACTCTGCTCAAGATGAAAATTACCAGAAACACACTGACCATGAATACCTTGTCGTTAAATACTAAGGACGCAACTGTAAAATACTAAAATTTGTCCACATCAGACAACACAAAATGCCGCAAATAAACGCACGTCTTTGTGTCACTGTCGTCTTTTAAAGTTCCCCATTATCCATCTCAAATCCGATTCCATCAAATTACAGCTCTCCTTTTCACCTGCTCCATGCCAGCATATTCCCGTCTAATCTTGCAGCTACTATCTACCAGCCCGCGCTGATGGAGGCGGGAAACTCTAACACCACAAATGAGGCGACCGACGCCACTCCTTTGCTTTCGGGGCGGCGAGGGGCGGACGGCGGCGGCGAGGGGCGGAGCACCTCTGGTTCTGCCACCGCAGTTCTTGTTTTTAGCACCTTCGTGGCAGTCTCAGGTTCCTACGTTTTTGGTTGTGCTGTAAGTTTCCAAAAACTTATAATTTTCACCTTTTGATATATATCCACTTGCGTACATCTCCAAACTCGGGATTACTTGGAATAATAGAAGTATAAAAGCTCTGTATGAATTGCTGACCTTAATTTTTTTTTTCTTTCTTATTATCTGGGAACTGGGGTTTTTGGTGTATTCTTTTGAGCTTCCAATTATATCTGGGTTACTTCCTTTTTGGCCTTAATTGAAGCGTGAGTTGTCGATTGACAAATATGTGCAGGTGGGATATTCGTCACCTGCTCAACCTGGCATTTTGGGTGATTTAGGCCTAACATTGGCACAGGTGAGTCTTCTTTGTGGGACTCTTCTATTATTAAAGTTCAAAAAGTTAGTTTACTTAGATTTTTTTTTTTCTTTTTTTATTTGAAAAGCTATGGTTGAAAATAAATGGATTTTGATCAGAAGAGAAGCCTGTGTGAGTAGATTTTTTGAGCATTCACTGTACCAAATTTTATGTTGGGTCATCTATTTGTCTGAACTATGGAGTGATACTTTGATTTAGAAAACATTTTCCCTACTAAAAACCCAATTATAAATTTCCTCTGATCCACAGCACTTGCTTTGAAAATCAACCATAAGTTGTATCTACAAATAATCAACATAAACAATCCACCTAGTGTTAAGAGAGTACAAATATATAAAAATCGTGTAAAAACATATATAATAAGTGGAGGCCATATAACAAAATTTTCTTTACGTAGCATCCTGTTATCTCTCATACCTCTGCGTGCATGCAATTGGGATTTACCACAATAGAAATCTCTTCTAATCTTACTGACCTACACACCACTTCTCTAGCCAACAGATGAAATTAAGAAGCTTACATTAGTACATTGGATCCCTCTAAGGTTCAACAGATGAACTTAAGAAGCCTACATTGGCCCTCTAAGGTTAATGGATAATTCTTGCAAGTGTTGTAAGAAAAACAGAAAAGTCTAAATTCCTAACTTTTATTTCACAAGAATACTAACTGAAAACTCGAACGAAAAACTCTGAAAATACGATAAAAAAAAGCTCTAAACTATCATAGTACAATAAAAAGTTATGATATTCAGATATCAATCGTGAGGATAATGAAGACCTATTGTGACAAATCTCTTCATTATCGGCCCAGAAACGAACAGAACTTTCCATATGTTGGATTTTCTTTCCACAAGTCTTGGAAACGCGTCTAGTAGTCCAACTATGGGCAACTTCCTTTCATATATTACATGTAAGAACAAGGAAATAAATAAATAATAGATGAGATAATTACATAATAATTTGTATAAATAAATATCTAAGGAGCTAATTAATGATGTCAATAATCCCTTTATTTTATTTTGCTTCCTTTTCACGAAATCCAACAAGAAAAATTGATACTTTGTTCCAACAATGTCAAAACAAAATTCTAACAAAAACAATAACCCTTACACATTATGATATAAAAGTTTTCTAGCAGGATGTCTTTCAAATTACATAGGGATGAGCCTGATCAGACCAATGGGCAGGATAGCCTACTCCAACTTCCCAGAAGCCATGAGATAAATTCAATTCATATTTCAACATAACCACAACTCTGGACACAATTTTTTTTTTCTTCTTCTCCTGTATCATACAAATCGTACCCCTTGCATCTTACAACATAAACAATAAGTACACATTTGTGTGACCTTTCAGTCAACTTACCTTTCATAGTAAATGTGTTCACTGAAGCATCCAAATGGTTTTAACCGATGATAATCTGCCACTTCATTGTAAACCCTTATAAAAGGTGTCTTCCATCCTTGGGCAGAACTTTGAAGCCTATTAGTTATTAGTTATGTAGGCAGCTATGAGAACTGCATAACATCACAACTTCAATGGGACTCTAGACTGAATCGAGAAACCTCTTGCTATCTCCAAAACTTGCTTATGTTTTCTTTCCACCTCCCCATTTTTGTTGTGGAGTGTGATAGTATAAGCACAACTCCTCTGGTGAGTTACGCCACTGTCTTGTAACAATTTCCGACACTCTCGACCCACAAATTCCTATTCATTATTACTTCTCAGCATTTTCACTGTGTTTTTATCATTTTCAGAAAATTCCTAATGAACCCCCCACTGGTATTCCTTTAGTTTTCATCAAGAAAATCCAAATTCCCCTACCATAATTTGTAAAGAAATATGGAGTATTGGTAATTGTTTATTCTCTGCATGGTCCCCATATATCTACATGCAACACTTCAAAAATTTCTTTAAACTGAAAGCTACTTAGAGGAAATGGCAATTTCTGCTGTTTTGTCTTAATACAAACTTTGCAACTCCTCAATCCTTTAGGAAGGACATATGTTGCAGAACACCAGCTGATGCATGACCTAGGATTCTGTTCCACTCTTGAAGTGAAATCCTGCAAAACAAACTTGTTTGTGCACTCTCCACCTCTTCTGCAAGATCATGTAATTGCCCTTGGAGTGTACCAAGTCCCACCATTTTGCCAGTTTTTTCACTTTCAAAGGTGCAATTTACGGATGTGAACACACAGTTCAACTTAGCGGCAATGCGTATCTGTGTCAATAATAAATTGTATTTGAAGAATGGCACAAATAATACCTCGTGTATTTTTTATTGACTCGGCTTCATAAGGCTCGTTAACGAGCCGGGCTTGGCTCCCTATTCATCTTCATTTTCTTCAAAATTCACAAAGTGCTTTCCCAAAATATATGCCTCTTCTCTTTGCTGAGATATCACTCATTGAGTTGTGTGCACTAACATTGGCCAGACTCATTCCTTTCTTGTCATTCAACTCCTTAAACCAATTTGGATATCCATGAAACTTGAAGCATGTGGACTTTTTCATCCACAATTCTCACAGACCAGTTTATATTTCTCTTCCTCAGGCATCCTAGATCCTCCTCTTCCTCTACGTAATACATATTGTCCATTTGATAGCTTCACAACCATTCCTCTTCTAAAGGTGTTGGTTCTGAGAGCCAGATTAGAAGGGAGATCTTCTGTAGATGTTTGCATAATATGTTGCCTCTGAGCAGAAAGAATCATAGACTAAGTTGTAACGGAGGAAGAGGATTATCATTAACATGATCAAACTGTCATTCAATCCCATTAAAAACTGCATCAGTCTATTTTGCATGTTCTGTCCTTCCAATTTCTCCCAGGTTCATATTTGCAAACAAATTGTGGCACCAACCAACTCTATTCATCTCACATATACAATTTATTGAAATACATCATCAAAGAATCAGAATCATTACCCTTCTTCAAAATTAGAAATCTCTCTCCAATTGATAGATCAATGGACCATTACTCTCATCGAACCTTTGACACATCTCTTCCCATAACTCTTTCACAGATTCCACATAGATAAAAGCATCAACAATTTGACAGAGAATTTAAGATCCATGAGATTATCATCCAATCGACTTTCTTCCATTTCTCATACTTTGGATCTCCAATCTTCAATGGCAACCCAAATTTCGTTTTCGCGCCAAGTGATATCATCATCGATCTCTTCCATGCCAAAACATTTCTCCAGTTAACGGATGAAGAAAAACAAGATTAAAAAGTATTCGGAATGAAAAAAAATTATTCCACTGAAATTTTGTTAATCTGAAAACTCAAATCACGGCGTCCATACGCGCTTGAGTTTATAAGTTGCGCATTTCAAAATCACCAAAGCGAAACGGCACGATTTGATTACATTTATAATCATCCAGCAACTTCGTACGCATGCATGTGTACGTCATCTACTTCGAGTGGCATGCTATATTTCTACAAAAGTTGTCCGTCGAGATGTTGTTTTGTCTAAAATGTTCACTCCCGGTAGAAAATATGGAGACCAACTGAAAAAGTAATTGTAAAGAAATAAACTCGAGTAGAAGGAGGGGAAAAACCAACTATGCAACAATCTTGGCATGTGTATAAACAGATGGAATATTAGCTATGCATTTTTTGTTAGCTCTAGCTTTCAGCAGACTAGTTGCAGCAAGAAAACAAATCTTGACTGACTCTCCTTACTTTGAGCTGATTGGAAATTATGCAAAAGGCAAATAAGATAAATTATTGCTCAAACAATTTAATGGACATGAAGGCTGGCTCAAGACAGTTTTAGGTCAAAAGATGTCTTTTTCTACAAATCATATGCATAATCTTCTTCATATTCGGTTTTGTATTTCTTTTTATGGGTGGTGGTGGTGGATGAAGCATACCATGCATATAAATCCAAAATTGAGAAAAATAGCAGAAAGAATATGAAATTAGGAATGATTTTGTACACAAGTAACAGATCATACCAAAGTAAAGAGTAACTCGTGATTTCGGAAATTCAGATTGTATGGCATATGCATATTTTAATGCAATTTTCTTCTTTGTAATGTGGTTAGGGACAACCTAGTAGTCCCGTTCTTTTTACAACCCTAAGATCTTGGTGTAACAAGTCAAAAGAGTTCATCATCATACATGAGCATAAGGCTATCTCCATGTTTCAAATGGTGAAAAAAACTGAACGTGCCCTTATATAGTTTAGTTGAAGTAATGACTTGATACTAATCTCTTAATTAATTTAAGGAAGACATTGAATGCTTGAAAAATTTATTTATTGGCAATTTTGAGAAGGTGCTATTTATTGCCTTAACAACTGCAGATTATGTTTGTCATATGATATTTATGCAACTCATAGATAATCTTATGTAACATAAAGTTCTTTTTTGCATCCATTTCACTTGGATTCGACTTTGCAGTACTCGCTGTTTGGGTCAATATCAACAATTGGAGCTATGATTGGAGCAGTAGTGAGTGGGAAGGTTGCAGATTTCCTAGGAAGGAGAGGAGTAATAAATTTGTTCCCCATTGCTGCTTAAATTTTGTCCTTCCAAGATCTCAAAATATATCAAACCTTTGTCTCTTTGTTGTTATTACAAGAGAATTGATCAAATATTGCAGGCGATGGCGTTTGCAGAATTATTTAACATTATTGGGTGGATAGCAATAGCCTTTGCTGAGGTATTTTAATCCAGAGTTTTTGCTCATGCATTTGTTTGAGTGAATGTGTCAGATCTCAGACTCGGTTTTGCATATTTGTGCAATTCGGTCAAGTGATGTAATTCAGTTAAAATATCAGAAAGTAAATGGAAAGATGACATCAATCGACTTATTTTACTGAGCTACAAGCAAAAGATATTCACAACATTTGATTCTGCTTTGGCTTATTGTCTATCAACACAGAATGTTTGGTGGCTTGATATTGGGAGGCTGTCAACTGGGTTCGGGATCGGAATTCTTTCCTACGTGGTACATACAGTTTGAACTTCATTTTGTTCTCTTTTATTGTAATGTTATTAAATTTTTAGCCTGGCACATAGGTACCGGTATATATAGCAGAAATCACGCCTAAGAATCTCCGAGGAGCATTCACAGCAGCCAATCAGGTAAGTTGAAATGTCGCTCTTTGGTCTCGAGAAAGCAAGTCAATCTTATACGTGAATATACTGATATCAAGTGCTTCTGATGAATGGTGATGCTTTTAGTTGATGATATGTTGTGGGGCTTCAATAATGTATCTTGTTGGTAACATCATCTCTTGGCGCCTCTTGGCTTTAATAGGTAATTTGGATTCCAATGAGCACTGTATTTTGCTATAATTATGGGTCGGTTTATGAAAAACAGGCAATTGGCTTCATTTCAGGAGTTATTCCTTGCCTGATACAGCTTATGGGCCTTTTCGTCATTCCAGAATCTCCTAGATGGCTTGTAAGCTCAAAAACATCTTTTCAAATGTTTTTGGATCTTACTAGATGTATGATGTTACTTCAAAATAATAAGATGGTTAATGAATAATTTCGTCTTTCTTTCTTTTGAAAAAAAGTAAGTGGATTCTACACTTTCTTTCGAAAGCAGCTAAGGTTCTTAGAAGATTATGCCAAAACTTGAAGCTTTAATGGTTCTCAAACAGCTTATAAGATGTTCTGAACAATTTATAAGATTTACCAAATGGATACTCTTTCTTTGCACAGGCTAAGATTGGTCAGTGGGAAGGGACTGAGGCGTCTCTAGTACGCCTTAGAGGGAAGGATGCAGACATATTTGAAGAAGCAGAAGAAATTAGAGTAATGGATTTGTTATTTCTAATCTTTAAGTAATTTTTGCTCTATTTTTTTTTTTATTTCAGATGAGTTGTGTAAACGTGCTGCAAATTTTGCAGGATTACACAAGAACTTTAGAACAGCTCAACGACTCGAGAATGATAGACCTGTTCCAAAAAAAATATGCTCACGCACTTGTAGTAAGGCTTTTCTTATTTCTGTTTGGATCTTAATTTTTTCTTCTTTTTTTTCTTTTTTGGTTCTTTTTGTGTGACTTAAGATGTATGCCTCATATTTCTGATTAATTCAGGTTGGAGTAGGGTTGATGGTGTTACAACAATTTGGAGGAGTTAATGCAATTGCATATTATGCAAGTGCCATATTTTCATCAGCAGGTAAACTAGTTTTGTTCTAAATGCTTTGAATTACTAAGTGTCGCCCGTAGATAGGTCGTAGAAAGATGCTAACGGCTTTGATTATGACAGGTTTTTCATATAAAGTTGGAACAACAGCAATGGTAATTGTTCAGGTAATAAATATTCAATTTAATTCTTTATTTTTTTCTTTTTTAACTTTCCTTGTTCTATTTGATGACATCACCATTTCTGCAGGTTCCGATGACTCTGTTGGGAACAGTGCTGATGGATAAATCTGGAAGACGTCCGCTGCTATTGGTATATGCTTTTAAAAAATAAAATTGCATTATTTGATAATCTTTCAGAGTTACATATGCTCCCATGATGACTTTTTTTTTTTTTTACCAATAGCATCCCAAAGATAATTTTTTGTTTTGGCAATTAAGCTAAACATCTGGGCTGGTTTTCGCAATTAGCCGTTACTTTAAGTTGTGTGCTCTAATATATGACAAGTGCATGTGTTCTTGTAGGTTTCAGTTGCTGGAACTTGCATGGGCTGCTCTTTGATTGGACTATCATTCTTATTACAGGTTATTTATTCTTACACAAATCTGTGCTCTCAATAAGGTTGATATTGGGATTTAAAAAGAACCCTCTCCACAGTGCAGGACCATAAGCTTTGGAATTTTAGCCCTTTCCTAGCATTTGGTGGCGTCCTGGTAAAACATATTACTGTTTGTGCAAAATGTTACAGCTTTAGAACATTCAAGAGTGTATTCTGATTGTACCATGATCTAATGAATTTATTTGATCGACGATTGAAAAGGAAAACAAAAGGCTAATACAAGTTCTTTTCCTGGCAACTTTCATTAGATATTTACAGGATCTTTCTCCTTAGGCCTTGGAGGCATCCCTTGGGTAATAATGTCGGAGGTATTTTACTTTCGTTATATGGTGCAGCTGAAGTTGAAAATATTATTAGACTGTTTCTTAGAAGCAACTAATCTTAATTTATTATTATTGTTGCATGATAATTTCAGATATTTCCTATAAACGTGAAAGGTTTAGCTGGAAGCCTTGTGACCGTGATCAACTGGCTCGGTTCTTGGATTATTACTTATTCCTTTAACTTTCTAGCACAGTGGACCTCCGCAGGTAATTTTTGTTGTTTCTTCTTCTTCTTATCTTCTTCTTTCCTTAATTTTTCCAAATGATTTCCGGTTATCCAATGCCTAATCATAGTGTGTTCATTTTTGCTGGATCAATTCAGGCACCTTTTTCGTCTTTGCAACTGTAAGTGGTTTTACCATCGTCTTTATTACAAGGCTGGTCCCCGAGACCAAGGGCCGAACACTAGAGGAAATACAAGCATCCATGGTTTTGTTTGCGGGGGCATAGTCTTCTCATTTCAAAACACTAGCAAACATGTTAATTAGAATTATATAAGCCATGTCAATGAGAAGTTCGTGAAGCGATTGTTGCAAAATCAAATAAATAGAATTGGGTTTGACCTGGTTTTGATGACTTTTTTATAGCTAATATTTAATTTGGTTTGAATTATAGCCAAGTGAGTAGTATTTATTTTGTTATAAAAATTTTACCGTTATTATATCGAAAATATTGGTAGTGATTTATAATATTATATAAATTAAATGATGATTAAAAATTATACTACTTATATTAAATGAACCAAACTTAAATATTATTTAATTAAAGGATAATTAGAGGTTAATGTTATTTTAATTGAATAAAGCAAACGAAAATACATGATTCAATTTATAAAAAAATAAAAAAAATAATGAGTGTTATATGGAAATTCTCAACTATTATTAAGAGTATTAGTGCTGACAATTAGTAGAGAAGGCCGTAACAGGTTTGATTTTTGTATAGAAACTGGTACGAATCCCGTGCGATGCACGGGTAAGAGATACATATTAATATTTATATTAAACGATGAGATATATGTTAATAACATTACACGTAGAGAATTAAAGTAAAACACAACCACAAATATGTCTATATATTTGAAAATAAATTAAAAACATAACCATTTACTTATATTGTCAATATCTTGTTGCGTAGCAAAATTACGAAAGTCAAAATAACACTTTGGGAAATCGGTAGGATACTCTAACACTTTGTAGTAATAGAAATTGGTATCAAGTTATAGTACAAGAGGTCGGTTTTTGTCAGAACCAAGTTTATTATTATGGGTATTTAATGCGCGTAAAAAGGATCCTCGTACAAGATTAAATGCAGCTATTTATAGTAATTTCCAGCTCGTCGATCGAGGTTGATTCGACGGTATTTAATGTGAGTTGACCACCTAGGGGTAGCTACTCTGCTGATGGCCCGGCGGTGATGATTACAACATGTGCACGGGGCGGCTGATTGACATATGTCCCATCAATGTCGCCTTGAACTCGGTTTGCCATGGAAACTAATCTTCTGTGCTATCCAAGTCGTCCCGTTTGCTAGCTGAAGTCGATCCTCACTCCGACTTGCACCGAGCTCTAATTAGATTGGTTTACTGTCTCTCGCTTGCGCCCGCCCGTCTCATCTTTCCACGCGTCGTCTTCCGATTGGACCCGCCAGATCGGTTATCAGCAATGAGTATGCTTACAATAGTACTAATCCGTCTACTTAGCATAATTTGATAATTTTTACATATCCTTTCAAGCACTATGAAATAACATGAATTAAAAGTACTCAATCTAGTCAATTTTTTTTAAGTATTGTCTATTTTTTAAAAAGATTATTTTGAACTTTAATTTTGACAATCCATATCCTAAAAAGTTTATATATTTATACAAATAACATTTCATAAAAATAAGTCAACTTTAAGAGTAACTCTCACTTATTTATAGTCTAATAAAGTTTTCAAATATATTGTACAATATTTTTGCATCTCATCATCATGAATTAATTACTAAAATGGTGTACATTTTATGTCAAGTTACCCGATAAATTATCATAATATTAAAAAAATTAATTTAAACTATAAGTTTCAATAAAAATTCAGAACTTAAAATTGTAATCTGCAACAAATAATTTAAAACTTATGAAGAATTGTGTATTAGTTATATTTATCTTTTATAATTTATTAAAAAAACTAATATATTATTAGGAAAAAACAGTAATATATTTTTTATACATTTGGTAAAAAATTTCAAAAAATATCCAAATAAAAATAATTTTTTCTCACTTATTCGTTTATTTAAATTCTTAACCTTTATATATATTGATTGTGTAAAGCCATTAAATTTGTTCATAGTAAAATTTAATACAACTTAGTTAATATGCTTAAAAGAATCTAAAATATTATATGTTACTTTTGAATGATATGTGCTAAATTTGTTTATATTAACTTTAAGTAACATCCATATTCATGTCACATATAAACAAAAAATTTAAATATGTATCAATGTATAAACAATATATGATAAATATTTCAATTTTGTATTTATTTAGTTGTACTGCTCTATATGGTTATGTATTTAAATAGTGGTTACCTGACCAAATTGTTTAGTTTTACTGCTCTATATGATAAATATTTTAATTTTTAGTTTTGCAATTCCTAATTAATCGCATGCATTAAGGCAATAAATTAATTAGCATGCATATATGAGCAAATAAAAACATGGCAATTAAATCCACTATTATGGCCATCATTAAAGGATCTTAGTGGATAAAGAAATAATCAGATCAAATCTACTGATTTTCCTAATCCACATATAACTCCCACTGCAGCAGAATCCTTGTCAAAGATTGTCATCTTGTCCGTCAAGTGTCCACATTGCCATCGCCAGGAAGCCACCGCTGTCAGCCAGTCGCCGCCGTGAAACTCGTCGAAAAAATTTTGGCCGGTCGCGAACGCGTCTTGCTCTTTACTACGCGAGCCGCGACCTTGCATTCCCGGGCAGCTCACGCACACAGTCCACGCCTGCGCGTAACACCCGGCCAGCCATGGCATCGCAGTCGGGTTCGCTGCCACTGCAACACGTACGCGATGGGAAGTCGCGCCATTCTCAAGCGCGCATTGGGAAAAGGCTCGCTCGTCTGGTCTTTGTCGCGTCGGGCGCGATGACCTGCAACATATCTCCCTGCGCTGCGCGCGCATCCGTCGGTCCCGGAGATCCTTGAGAATCTCGCGCGTTTGGGTCGCTGTGAGTCTTGCACCTGGGCGACCTTGGCAGCAAGCTGCCAGGTGCCCGCGCACGCACGCGCGATCCCGATGCACGTTCTCGGGTTTCTCGAGTCCGGTCGGGTTATCTTGATCTCCCGATTGATTCGCACACGATCACAATCAAAATAAATAAGTTAAAAAAAAAAAAATCAATTTTCATCCTAGACCCATGGATGAATTTACATGTTTGTCTAAGAAAGCGATAAATTTATCTGGTGTCCCACTGAGCGAATAAATAATTCAAACATTCAAACCTCATCCTCGACATGCCCGAGGCTTTAAAAACCAAACCATGCAATAAAATTCAATCGCATCATCACATCAAGCACATAAAATCACATATGCCATAATAGTGGATTATACTACTACTACAAGACGGAGTTATGCATATATATATATATATATATATATATATATGTGTGGGTGTGTGTGTGTGTGTGTGTGTGTGTGTATGTGTGTGTGTGTGTTTGTGTAATCCAATTTATTGATGTACTTGAACACACATAATTCACGTAATCCTTAAACATTTGAACTTTGCACAAAAACGCATTAAACGTGGGCTCTGATACCACTTGTTGGGATCTATAAGGATCGCCGCTAATGTGCAAGATACAAATTTCTCTAAAAAATTACCTATGCGCAGCGAATCTATAGGTACTGATAGAAGACTCACTGTTTAATATTTTGTCTGACTCTGAGACGTTGTAGATTTCTTCTATAGAAGATCGTCTGAGTCACAAAGTCCGTTGGCCAGTCGAACATGGCCTTCTCAGATTATCGCGGGTCACGTGCATGCGGACGGCTAGTCGCGACCGGTGCCGGGAAGCTGGTCGCAGGTTGGCGTCAGGTCACCTGGGCGTCGAGCGGGTCGCGCGGTATTGTCGCGGGTCTGCTCGGCATTAGATGGCTGCAGGCATCGTGGGTTTCGGCGTCGCAGGGAGCAGTAGGTCGTCGTTGAGTGCAGCAAAGATGTCACGGTCAGGGCGGGTAGTCACCGGGAGCATGGTGGTGGAGTCGTATGGGTGCTGCGATGGAACAGGTCGCGTCGGGTGATCACAGGTGGACTCGAGTTGTCTCGCAGCGGTGAATGGGCGGCTGACAGTGGCCGGGTGCTTGACTACCCCAAGGCATTCTATATATTGAATTACCTAACACCTTTAGAATTCCCTTGGTGGGAAAGAGAATCTAAATATCTCTATGTGATGTATGTCTTCAAATACCAGGAAATAGATGTATTTATAGGGTTCAATAGGTACCCTGATGAGACATTAAATTGGGTTTCTCCTACTAAGACTCAAATGTGGGCCAAGCCTACCAAGTCCTAATAGGAATAATACAGTCATTTCACTAAAGTAGTATTATTAAATAGTTGTAGGCACTGTATGGTTGTAGCCCCACGGAAACAATTAATGGACAGAGCAAGGAGGAGGCTCGCGTCAGAGATCAACGGATCCGAGATCATCGACAGAAGGAACCCAAAAACCGCCGGCAAGTGGCACCACGGAGTTGGAAATAAGTTATGGAGAAGATGAATGGTTGACTAAGTTATGGGGAAGATGAGCGACTGACTATTACAAGTTTGAAAGAATGAGATGCGTCTAATATATAAAATATGTTGTTAGATCGGTCGCATGCTTTAACAATAATAATAATGTATGGCTCAAGTGGTAAGTATCTTGATGTTGCTTAAGCAAGGTCTCGGGTTCGAGTCCTTATGGATGCAGAAAACTCTTGTTGGGAGACTCACCCACCACTGTCAGGTGTGCGACCAGGGTCGACCAACGGATTAGTCGGGGCATAGCTCTGGATACCGTGGCTGGCTACCAAAAAAAAAAAATAATAATAATAATCATAATAATACACTTGATTATAAATTTTACTTATTTATTTTTTTATTTATACTTTTGCTCAAATTAATTGCATACTAAAATTTAGTTTAGCATTGTATAAATTTAATTATTCCATTTAATTCACGAATACTGCTTCAATATTAATGTTCAAATTTGAGAACATAAACTACAAAACTATTCAAATTCGAGTCCTTATGGATGCAGAAAACTCTTGTTGGGAGACTCACCCACCACTGTCAGGTGTGCGACCAGGGTCGACCAACGGATTAGTCGGGGCATAGCTCCGGATACCGTGGCTGGCTACCAAAAAAAAAAAAAAAATAATAATCATAATAATACACTTGATTATAAATTTTACTTATTTATTTTTTTATTTATACTTTTGCTCAAATTAATTGCATACTAAAATTTAGTTTAGCATTGTATAAATTTAATTATTCCATTTAATTCACGAATACTGCTTCAATATTAATGTTCAAATTTGAGAACATAAACTACAAAACTATT